GACTACATGACCTAATCTTCTCCTCATTTCCATAACATAAGTGGGAGATTTTCTGTAGTTCACGGAGGGCTGATAACACAGGATATCTTATATATATATAGTTACATTCAGCTTGAACAGCATCCTCTGAATAGTGCCCATGTGGCCAACTCCCCCTGTGTTCAACAGTGCAACAGTGAAGCTGCTCAGTGCGGGACCTGGAAGTGGCCATCCCACTAGAGTAGTGATGTCTGTTTCAGTGGTTTTCAGCTCCAGGGGCATTGTATACGGTTGTAAAACTAGCCCCTTGGGGGTTGCTGTTGATTTTGGGTCCCCTATAGTCCTGCACAGCCAGGCAACTACGTGTTCCACACATGCTCACATCCATAGCCAGTAAACCAGTTCTTGAGCTTTGTTTTGTATTTTTATTGAGGGGATTTAGCTGGGATAGAATGAGGGGGTATAGGATGCCCGAAAGGAACTGATAATTGAGGACAAACTTCCTGAAACTATTCACATGCGTCTCTTCTGAAACATAGTCACTGTGGGAGTGCTAGCCAGCATCTCCCTGGAGTTACCACCCCAAACACCCAATTAAATTCTACTCTTCATTCAGCAGTCTGGTGATTGTTCTGAGCAGGGGTCTGACTCCTGTCCCTTTAAATAGGTGCACAGTCACTAGTAGGGAGCTAATCTGGTTTCCCAAGAGAGTGCTCCATCCCCTATCTGCCCAGGGGGTGCAGGTGTACTCATTCAGATCCCCTCCTGTACAGTTTATAGGATGGCTGCTGCTACCAGGCCTATCAGCTGGGCCACTCCTTCCCTGCCATACAGGTGTTCCTCTTTCAGAGGGCCAGCGAGTCCCAAGTTTTCCTCCTTGCCATCTCCAGGCTCGCAGTCAGAGCCCATCCCACTGGGCCTCCTAGCAGTCTTCCTCCTCCAGCCAGGCTCCTGACTGAGCATGCTCCAAACACTTTTAAGGGAGTTCAGCCCCTTTCCAACTTCCTGTTCGGGATTGACTGAGATCCCCTAGAAGAAGTGCAGCCAGCCACTCCTCAGATCCACCCACTGCCTCCAATGCCCTCCTCCAACAGCCTCACAGCAGGGGAAAATTCCAGAGGGGCTGGCCTGCAGAGTCCCGCAGCCCTGACCACAATTTGACCCCTCTGGCTATTTCAGCAGAGCTGCTAATCAGCTTCTGTCTAACCATTAGGATCTAGCCCCCCCCTAGCTAAACTAGGAGGGTGCTACATGGTAACATCATCTTTAGCATAACACTATAGAGAGGACAGGTACTAGCAAGACTACTGGATTTCTGACAGGATCAACAGGTATTACTTTGCACATATCAAACAGATATAACACCATACTGTATCTATGGGAAGCAACAATGTCCCTCAAGGCTGTTCTTCTGATTTGAACTTTAAAAACCTCCCTTTCTGTATTACATGGGAGAGGGGGTTGTATAGTTCAGAGAAAATAGTTTGGAAAGGTTACAACATTGTCTGAGATTTCAGTTAAGGTCAGAGGAAATGACAGGGGTACTGAAAGTCTATCAGGATCAACAGGAGTTTTTTCTGTACTTGCAGAAAATGTAGTAAGACTTAAAAATGAAAATGAACGCAGTCACTGCATCGAAGAACTGATAAGATGTCATATATTACGCTTTTATTCTTGGGTTTAGCTATACCATAACTACAGTAGCCACTAACCTGATATGGAAGTAGTATCTCAGCTTCACATGACTGGATAATTGAAGTAATTATTCACACTACTTATTAACCCCTTTACGCCGGCCGCACACAAATGTGCGGCCGCCCGACGTCTGGGCCTAGACGCCGAGCAGCCGCACATTTGAGTTCAGGTAAGAAAAAACATATGTGCTGAAAGCGCACGCCCTGCGCGCTCCCAGCACACGTCCGGTACTCATGGAAAGGTCCTGGTCTGCTCTTTCGATCGGGACCTTTCCCGATCATGTGACCGCCGTGACGCCACGTCACGGCGGTCACATGATCCCAAAACCACACCCCACCTCCCGGCGTCTAACTCTTAAAGGGCCAGGAGGCACCGGCGGATAGGGGTTAAAGATTAAGTTCAGCTTTCATACAATGTTACACTCATATCAAGAATGTAAGATCTAATGTTACTAAATGAGCAGCACCTCCCTGAGCCCACTTTGTGCGAATGGACCAGGGATCCTCTTCCTGCACCCGCTATTACAATTTTTAAAAAAAACACATCCATGCGGGCTCTGCCCACCCAGCTGCCTCCTTCATTCACAGAGTTCTGTGAATAGAACTACAACTACCATCAGCCATTGCAGCTTGTAGTTCTCAATGAAATACTAGGGTGCTGATGAGTGTTCTGGGTAGTTCATTGATCCTCCCTGTCATTCAGTAAGGCTAGGTTCGCATCTGTACGGTTGGTGCCGCTGTGGATCCGCACAAAAATCCATGCACCACCCACACAGAAGAATTCGGACCCTCGGGCGAGTGCCATTAAGTCTAATGGCACGCCACCCGCCCTGGAAATCGCAACTGCACTGAGAACCGAGGTTCCCGTGCAGGCTGCGGTTTCCAAAAGAAGGCAGGGACTTCTTCCCTGCATGTCTCAAGGCACAAGAGTCTATTCAAATGAACGGCTCTTGTGCCCATGCAAAAAACGCAGCCCCCAGGAACGCAGATATGTGAACCAGGGGTAACTGCCTGCCCGTACGAGGTACAAGCACACAGGTACACTGACAGTCGGCAGAAGCCTGAGATTGCACCCGTGATCAGCTGATCTCGGGTGCAATGCTTTACAGGCTCCTAATAAAAAAAATAATAAATGCCAATTTTTATACCTGCAAAAAGATGTGCATTTTTTTTTTTTTAAGGGTGAACCCTTTAGGTGAAGACTCTCAGCTCTATTAGTAAATCAACCTATCTGCATGGAGTTTGTATGTTTCCCCCTAAAACAGGGGTTAAAATTTCGAGTCCAGACCTACTAGCCAGTCACAAAACTTACTCTCCACCAGTTGCGCCACCCAACCTTGCCCAGGTCCGCCCCCAACCCCACCCACGGTCCACCCCCCCGCCCCAACCACGCCCCCTTAAAGCTAATGAAATTACATTTTTATTTAGAATAAAGAGTCCAAAATATAAAACTGTACACAGTAATGTATATCCCAGCTCCCCTGTACTCCATTATAGTGATATGACATTTATACAGTAATGTATATCCCAGCTCCCCTGTACTCCATTATAGTGATATGACATGTATACAGTAATGTATATCCCCCCCCCCCCTATACTCCATTATAGTGATATGACATGTATACAGTAATGTATATCCCCCCCCTGTACTCCATTATAGTGAAATGACATGTATACAGTAATGTACAGTTGCAAGAAAAAGTATGTGAACCCTTTGGGATTACGTGGAGTTTTGCATGAATTGGGCATAAAATGTGCTCTGAACGTCATCTAAGTCACAACAATAGAAGAACACAGTCTGCTGAACATAATACTACACAAACATTAGATGTTGCCATGGTTTAATTGCACATAACATGTAAACATTCACAGTGCAGGGAGGAAAAATGACTTCTCCCAGAGCTAATTGGAGCCAGGAGTGAGCCAACCTTGACTCCAATCAGTGCGATGATATTGGATGTGTTGCTGACAGCTGTCCTGCCCTTAAAAAACACACACCTGTTTTGGGTTTACTGGTTTCAAGAAGCACTGTCTGATGTGAACCATGCCTCGCAGAAAAGAGCTCTCAGAAGACCTACGATCAAAAATTGTTGACTTGCATGAAGCTGGAAAGGGTTACAAAAGTATCTCCAAAAGCCTTGATGTTCATGTGTCCACGGTAAGACAGATTGTCTACAAATGGAGAAAGTTTAGCACTGTTGCTACTCTCCCTAGGCGTGGTCGTCCTGTAAAAATGACTGCAAGAGCACAGCGCAGAATGCTGCATGAGGTAAAGAAGAATCCCAGAGTGTCAGCTAAAGACCTACACAAATCTCTGGCACATTCTAACATTTTTGTTGACACATCTACAATAAGGAAAACATTAAACAAGAATGGAGTACATGGGAGGACACCACGGAGGAAGCCATTGCTGTCCAAAAAGAATATTGCAGCACGTTTGAAGTTTGCAAAAGAGCACCTGGATGTTCCACAGCACTACTGGCAAAATATACTGTGGACAGATGAAACCAAGATTGAGTTGTTTGGGAAGAACACACAACACTATGTGTGGAGAAAAAAAAGGCACAGCACACCAACATCAAAACCTCATCCCCACTGTAAAACATGGTGGAGGGAGCATCATGGTTTGGGGCTGCTTTGCTGCCTCAGGGCCTGGACGGATTGTTGTCATTGATGGGAAAATGAATTCCAGAGTTTATCAAGACATTTTGCCGGAAAACGTACGACCATCTGTCCGCCAACTGAAGCTCAGCAGAGGATGGGTGATGCAACAGGACAATGACCCAAAGCATACAAGTAATTCAACAAAACAATGGCTGCAACAGCACAGAATACGCCTTCTGGAGTAGCCCAGTCAGAGTCCTGACCTCAACCCGATTGAAATGCTGTGGCATGACCTTAAGAGAGCGATTCACACCAGACATCCCAAGAATATTGCTACACTGAAACAGTTTTGTGAAGAGGAGTGGTCCAAAATTACTCCAGATCGTTGTGCAGGTCTGATCTGCAACTACAGCAAATGTTTGGTTGAGGTTATTGCTGCCAAAAGAGGGTCAACCAGTTATTAAGTCCAAAGGTTCACATACTTTTTCCTCCCTGCACTGTGAATGTTTACATGTTATGTGCAATTAAACCATGGCAACATCTAATGTTTGTGTAGTATTATGTTCAGCAGACTGTGTTCTTCTATTGTTGTGACTTAGATGACGTTCAGAGCACATTTTATGCCCAATTCATGCAAAACTCCACGTAATCCCAAGGGGTTCACATACTTTTTCTTGCAACTGTATATCCCAGCTCCCCTGTACTCCATTATAGTGATATGACATGTATACAGTAATGTATATCCCAGCTCCCCTGTACTCCATTATAGTGATAGGACATGTTGTATACAGTACTTACTGTCCCCCCCGAGTCCCCCACGGAGGTGGAGAGGGTGTCTTCACTCAGCGGAGGAGAGCGGACCTCTCCTGCACCTGTCCCCTCGGCGGCGGTGCTGCAGAAGCCGCAAACCAGAAGTTGTAAACCGGAACTCGGCTTCACAATGAGGCTTGGAGAGCAGGAGCAGTTGCTCCATGCTTCATCTGTGCTCACCACTCGCAGCCGCTTGCCTCTCACCACAAAGGAATTTCTCCTCGCATTTGGCGAGCAGCTTTTTCAAGCCCTGCCCTAAAACATAAGTGATATTTTATAAAAACTTTTTCCCAAACAGGTCCCTCTGACTTTGTGGTAACCAGGTTAGGGACATTAAACTCAATTGAAGTAGTTAACATGAAGGGTACATGCACTGTAAAAGCAATGTGGAATAATGTGATTTAATAAACTAATTTAAAAAGTTCATCTGTCTGTGATAATCTTGAGAAATATTTACCCGATTCCCTGAGATGTATATCACAGACTTTGTCGGTTCTCATGTACTGTGCTGAGCTCTGCGACGTATGTAATAAGATCACAATGTTACACACCAATTCAGACTGGAGTGCTAAACACAAACATGCCAACGTCAATATTGAAGGCCGAAAATGTCACTGTTTTCTCTGCTGCCTCGCTAAAACTGCACATGCTGCATCTGTCTTTTTCAGTCAAATTAGCACAACAACCCTGTGCTGTGACTAATCTGCAACGGAAAATAGATCCACTCTCAGGCATGTTCAAATGGAATGAAATGCAAGGTTTGGCTTAGTGAGCTGTCATGTAACATTACTAGACCGTTTGCTTGCATTTGGCCATATAGTTTTAACTGTTCAACTCCTACAACAGAGGCATCATGGCGGAACCAACAATGAGCTCATCTCAGCTTAACCAACAGAGAACAAGAAGTATCGCTCAATAATTCTCTAGCCCATGCCATTAGATGTGGTCACCACTAGGTATGAGCCAAGCAGGTGTGAACTCGACTAAGCTATCCCACCAGCAAGCTGTCAAAGGGGACAGCCAATCATAAGCGGCGGAGGAATGCCCCACCCAGCAGCCACATGTATACAAGGGGCATGTATATGTGCAGCTGCGGGGCAGGGAATGTCTCTGACAGCTATGAATTATCTGTTACCCTTTGACAGCTTTCTGGCAGAATAACTCTCGTGTCTAAACTCACCTAAGCTCACAGTGGCTAAACAGTTAGCACTTCCACCTGGCAGTACCAGGATCGTTGGTTTGAATCCCAACCATGGCACCACCTGCCTGGAGTTTGCATGTTCTCCCTGTGCCTGCGTGGGTTTTCCGGGTACTCCGGTTTCCTCCCACACGCCAAAGACATGCTGGTAGGTTAATAGGCTCCTGTCTAAATTGGCCCTAGTATGTGTATGTATGAATGTAAGTTAGGGACCTTAGATTGTACGCCCCTTGAGGGTTAGGGACTGATGTGAATGTATAATATATATGTAAAGTGCTGCGTAAATTGACAGCGCTATATAAATACCTGCAATAATAATAATCCCTAGTCACTACTTGTGCATTTTCAGACCACAACTGCGTAGGAATTGTTTGAACAACAATTTAGGAAGGTGATCCATTTTTCCAGGTAAATTTGGGAAAACTTAACTATGTCAATTCACACAGCATACCTAAAATAATAATTAAAAAATATTTTTTTTACATTTTGAAATGTTTCTTTGGAGCAGGCCTTTGGGTAGACAGCAAGCTATTCAGAATGATTTGAAAGCGAAACTGGAGCGACAAAGTGTGGACAGGTGTAGTATCTTTCGCATTAACATACAGTGTAGGACCCATTTAGATCAGACATTGGTCAAATCTAGTTTACCACTGATAATGAGATCCACAAGCACAGTATAGCTGGGGCAGACATGAAAAGGACAGGAAGTGTGATATTCCCAACATTGCCAAGTGTAAATAAAGGAGAAAAGAAATCACAGCCACCATATCTGGTAAGCTGCAATATATTAGTTCTATTTTTTTCGCTATGCCTTAACAAGCAGTAAATTGGCTTTACAAACAGCCCTCACTGACTTTTGCATCTGCAGACACTGTGGAACAATTCATCCTCAAGATCATAGCAGATGCTCTGAAGTCCCCATCTCTCAGCAGCTCAAACAACCTCTGCCCACCCAATATCTGGGGCAAGCCTTCTAACATTTAATGCAAACACAGAGCAGATACTCTAGGAGGGGATACAAGGTAAGCTGGGCTGCTAACATACGACTAAGATTTTAAAGCTTATTTACTGTTCATTGAAGGCTAACTCCACCTTTCAGGATATGTTTCATGGTACACCCATATTTAGGGTGTAACATGGTCATCATGCACAGCCCTGGACCACCAAATGGCCCCTCACTTGAAGGACTGTGGGGTTCGTCTCTCTACTGGCTCCTGCCATATTTGACATCAGAGTAGCTATTTGTGGCACCACCCACAGCTGCATCATTCATTCACAGGAATTTGTGAATAAAAAACGGCTAGTCGTCCCTGCCTGTCATAATCTGGTGACACCATCCCACTTGTTCATTGATTCTGCTCCATAGCTGAAGGTCCATACCACTGTAGTACTGTGTGACCAGGGCCTGGAGGAAAAGTCTCTTGGAACTAGAGCACTGCACCCGTGATCCACTGGTCATGTTTGATATTCTTTTCAGGTTAAAATGCAAAACAACAACAAAGGTACTCCTCTGCTTTTTGCAAGATAGGTGCATGTATCCATTTAGCAAGGTGGCAATTTTCCATTTGTAAATAATTCAATATTTACAGCTTGACCGCAGTTTAATTTGTACCTCTTCACAGTGAACCAACATAGATGTAGGTACCAGCTGAGTTGTTTTGGTAATCTCATACAGATATCCCCCAGAAAAAAATTCCAACTAGAAGGTCAGAGTAGATCTAGAATATAAATGTGGGATTACAGCTCCAAAACCTGGTAGCACTTTGAAATTCTCAGAAAATACAAGAGTTCATGGTCAAGTACATAACTTTGGAATGATCTGCTCAGCCTCCTCTTCTACCGCTTTGACCCCTAGAGAAATAAAGGAATCCAGTGCTGAGGAAATGCAGAGGTTGCCACCGATGACCTCTCCTTAAAATAATAAAGGCCTGTCTGTGCTGCAATCCCCCTGGCTTCAATACTTTGAGTCACTGACCCGGAACAAGGACTTCTGACTTTTGCTAAATCACCTAATGTAGATTCAGTGGCTTCAATACATCCTGAGGGACTAGTTGGAAACCGGTATGCAGATCTGGAATTCCGAATTGAATATGGCTTTCTTCTCTGCATGCTTGTTCCAGGTCAGTGCCTCAGAAAGCATTGAACCTAGAGAGGGCCAGCAAACTAGTATCATAGAAAGGTGCTACTATATATTCTGTGGTGGACAACTAGATTTTTACCATCAGAGGGACGTAGGTGACATCTATAATGCTCTTACCAGTTGAGGTATAAACCAGGAGCTATGAAGAGGGGGAGGCACATCCCATTTTGCTACTTTCCTTGAGATCCAAATGAAATAAGTGATGTGTCCAACTCGACCTTAAACCTGCTCCACAATATGATCATCAAAAAATCCAGCCATGTCAGGAATGATACAAAATACAACAAAGTCAATTTTCACGAAGTCTGGAGCCAGTTTGTATTTAATTTTTTTTTTTTTTAGCATCTACCCAATACATAGCAATAAAGACTTAATTAAATGGCAAGAAGTTCGAGGTTTTATTGGCACTTACAGAGGCTTGTTTCTTAGTCTATCTCCATCACTAGGTATATGCTGTATATGTTAATTATTTTTAGCTGACATATGAACACAGTAGTTATACGGTCCTACATGGGTCCCTGAACATTGATTGCAAAAGCAGATTTATAACAGATTATGCAGCTCATGCAAGAGCGAATTTTATATCTGCTGGCTTTGCATACAAAATCTTGAAATGTAATATGACCCAGATTTCATTTTATGCGTCATATTACTATATGTAAATGATTGTTAAAACACCATCTAATCAACCCACATATAACATTTAACTCTTACTTCCACTGTCGGTGGAATGGGAAGCAATTGATCGGGGGATAGAAAAATAACATGTAAAAAGTACATTGAGACCACTTTAGAATGACCAGGCAGGTGGGCAGACATGAAAAACTTGCCACGTGCCTGTGGGTAGACAAGCATTTGACATTGCCTTTAACTTGTATCAAAAAGAACCTTTGGGTGTTTATCTGTGAAACTTGTATCAAAAGGAACCTTTGGATGTATATCTGTGATTCTTTATTCCCTGTATGGTGCCAAGGGAGACCCAACTAATGGCCACACTGATATGCACATAGCAACCAGCTCCTGTGGCTATCTACTGTGCCCTAAAAAACGGCAAGCCCCTAACCAATAGTAAGGTATAAAAGGCTTCATAGGGCCAGAACCTGTGACCCCAAAAGCCGGTCAATATTTCCACTTTCAGAGTGATATTTAGGACTTTAGGATTCAGACATTTGACAGGCGCCTGAGATGCCTGCAATATGAAGGTAGTTTATTAGCCTCTGTCTATATACAGGCTTGTGTTATCTGGCATGCACAGTGGTTTGTTTATGCGCTTTGTATATATTAAACCTGGAAATAGTTTTTTCTTTTTTTGTGGTCAGCTGATTGTGTAACATTGATTATGAATATTGTGCATTCTTCCATCTTGCTACAAGATGGAGCCTCTGCCTCCTTTTCATATTTTACGTTATCTACTTTGCTTTTTGTTGTAACAAGCTTGTTGTTTAGAGAGCTCAGTAGTTCAAGGTAAAAATTAAATACAACGTAATAGCTCATTGGAGCAACTCTTCCTTTTCAAACACACCGCAGGCAGCCCGGTTTGTGCCATCTCTTTAGTTAACTCATAGTCTTTTGGGAATTCTTTGTCATGTATTAAATGTTTATTTGTAGAACAAATATTATGTGCAAGAATAAATCGATTTCTCTTTTTTATTGAATAAAAAAAAAATTAAAAAACCCAAAACCTTAAAAACGTTTTAAAAAAGTACATAACATTGACCTAAAACCATTACAGCTTACCTTCTTTAAAACAAAACTAAATTCTGGTTTAAAAAAATTTTATAAAAAGTTATGTATTCTTGGCTATATAAAAAAAAAAGAAAGTACATTCTAATACTTATCCCATCCCTTCTAGATTGTAAGCTCGAAAGAGCAGGGCCCTCGATCCCCTCATGTTTTGCATTGTATTGGTATTGTTCTGT